ATTATTTCTTGTCTTCTCATGCGAATACTTTAATTATTAGTTTTTTGTTTTTTTTCAGTTACTAATAGGTACTACGTAGCATTCAAGGTTATAACATTTGGTGTGTGTTCATATTTTCCGTCTGTACTATGTTTTTTTTTAGATTCGCCTCCATTCTCTGTCCATATTGGAAATTCTTCATTCAAATATCACAGAACTTCAGGTAAAAAGTCAATCATGCATAAGTCCTTTTCAGTTTCACTGATTTCAACATGAGCAAGATTAGCAGAATGATTCTCCAATTGAAAATGATCTATTGTACAGTATTGAGAATATTCATTGATAGTAAATGTTAGTTAGGGACGACGTCAAAAGATCGATGTCGGATAAAAAACTTAATTCCTTTAGTTTTTTTCCAAACCCCCCTACCCCACACTGAAACTTAATTGATAAATATTGGTCATGGCATCAGACTACATTCACCATTAAATACAAATTGATAATCGGACAGTAGTATTGCATAGCAGTTGGTTGTCGGGTGGGTGTAAAAAGATTTTACAAATGCACCTCATTTGACGCACAAATTTACACTCGAACCAAACCATTTTTCTGTTTTTTTCCCTTTTCGGTTATTTCTGTCCATGATTGGATACTCCAAGATTTTTTGGACTTCATTAAAAAATAAAATCGTTTTTGTAGGATGGAAACTTTTTGAGGTCAAAACCCCCCCCCCCCCCACCCCCAAACTAAAGGAAATAAGTTTTTTATCCGACATTGATCTTTTGACGTCGTCCCTTAGGTAGAAGAATAATACTTGTTGAGGAGGTTGGTCATACTATGTACAGTCATGGAACCATAGTTCCATAGTTCCATGATAACATAGAACAATCGTTTTTATGTATTACAGTACCGTATTTGAGGAAATTGGTCAAATATTATTCAGAAATTGCTGTTTTTGAAACAATTGTACAGAATACAATGTTAAAGCATACAAGCTTTTTTGGTCACTTTTTAAAACCCAGATTTTCAAATCCCAATATGTAATTTTTTCAGTCTGTCGTCATCCAACAAATTGAGATATGGCATCATATTACTCCTTAGGAACCCATGATAAAAGTGTTCTCATACTGACAAATTGGCCGCCATTCACTACAAATACAACCATTTTTTACTCCAGAGTGCAAAGCACAAAGTTGGAGTCTTTGTGGTTAGTGCATAGGTACTAGGTGTGTGTGTGTATCTGTTCCACTGATATTTCAAGAACCAATTATCAGATTTTAACGAAACTTTGTACATAGGTACTCCAGGATAATACTCAGACCTGACTAGTTTTTGGTTGAAATTTCGTTCATATTAATTGCCTAATATGCATATTATTGAACCAAATTTAAGCATTTTCATTTGTTTCTCATGTACTATTAAACAGACTTCAATGAAACTTAGTACATAGATGTATAATGCACAGTACTGATTAGTTTTGGTTGAAATCCTGTTCATATTAATTACCTATTAATTAATTAATTAGGCTGGGGACCCCAAACCTTTTTTAATATTGACAGGGAGTACAGTTTATATTTTCATTTATGGGTAGACTTCTAACGCAATAATTTGCTTACAATTAACACTGAAATCTACATTCTTTACTTTTGCATCTAAATATATTATTAACTTTCTTGCAGGATGATGGTATATTCAAAGTTTGTTTGGATGCTGAGACAGAACCAATTACACTTCAATCGTACAGGGAAAGACTTCGGCATTTGCAACAATTGATGTTTATACCAAGACATCGTTATGCTAGGGTATGTGTAGTGTGTGTTCTTCCAAACATGTCTACATATACTACTATTCCCAAAGAGAGAAATTTAGTTTGATTTAATTTTTAATGTCTTGCAGGTTCCCTTATTGTACCTGTTAGGTTCGTTATATATTAATTTGAGTTTAATCTGGAATCCTGTGCTCGGTTTTATCAAGTAAGTAACACTGCAAATCAAACAATTGATGTTTAAAATGTTCTCTAAATCTTATTCAAAGCTTAGACATTTTTTGGGCACCATATCTTTTCCCGCCAAAATGTTATCCAGCATATTGACTGTTTTTATGTATTTTCGATAATTTTGTTCGATAATTTTAAACCAAATGGACATAATTTCCTATATGCTACTTATCTTGATTAAAATTGTGGGAAAAAACAATAAAAAATGTGAAATGTGACAGAAGCTTACTGTGATGCTCATTGCGCAATGTTCACATCTGTCACAACTGTCACACGTAGGGTCTTATATTAAGCTGCCCACAATGCATTTCAGTGACCTCTAATGTGATTAAATTCCTGCTCACTACTCAATTATAATATTTTCAAAATAAATTATTTCATATTATACAGGACTCTTGCTTATGAGATGGAACGTGATGAATTCTTCCATGTCTATACTGAACATCTGAAATCCACCACAGACAAACTTGAAGACATCCAATCAGAGGATAGCGTCCCTGCACTAAACACTTCAGAAGAATGTAATACTGTCTCTGATTTATTGGTACAGTTATCAGAGACATGCTTCAAACAAGATGATAAACCTGATCATTATAATCATCGTCATCTGTTATTAAAAGCCATGGCAACCTTTGCTGATAAGGCTGAAGGGAAATCTCGCATATTAACGCCAGTTTTCTTGCATTTCATACAGTAAGTAGGTTATTAGGGATCACTCCAGATCTAGAAAATTTTACAGTTATATTTAACCTCCCACTCTCACCAACACAATGGTACTAAGGTACTTAGAAATGCATGCACAAGTCAATAAAATATTGTCTTAAAGCGGGGGAGTCGTCACCTGTGTATGCGTCAGATGGCCATAGCGTGTCATTGTTTACAACAAGCGTCTACCCATGAGCCTTTTCGTGTTTAGCGTGTGTTGTTATCGTCACTTGGGACTCGATTTCCGCGCGTGCGCAGGTGACACCCCTCCTGCTTTAATTACTGGTTCTGTCACAAATACAAAATTTTAAAGTGGAACATTACTACATGCACCACAAAGAAACATCTGACCACTGAAAAGGAATCCATCTAACTATAAAATCATTTTTTCCATATTCATACGTTGTGAACAAACTCAAGCCATTTATAATATCGAGTGGTATCAAGTTTGTAGAAGGATATTCTTGTATTGAGCTGCCAGTATCGAAAACAATTGTAAAATCCCACATGTATTGGTTTATAGAAAAGAGTACGAGCCAACTGATCATATTGTTGCACCCACTGAGGATTTAAGAGCACAGTCCACTGTAAATAAGAGAATTGTAACTAAGAAAGAAAGAAAGCTGGCGATCAAGTAAGTTCTGAATTATATTACTCCGTACTTATTGTGTAACAATAAAAAAAAAACATCTGACAATTTTTCTCGTCACCTACTTCATGTACTTTATTACTGAATTTCGTTTATACAATTCAACTGCATACTTTTTCCAGTTGGAAGACCTCTATAAAATCTAAATTGTGGTCATCAGCTAATTGGATTCCCTAGCTTACTGAATTTTACCGTAACTGATGTCTGTATCCTCTGTAGAGCTTCTAGCCTCGTAATTATTACACAGTACGGATCATTATAACGCAACTTGGATGCTTCAACTATTTCACCACTAGACTTTCCCGCCCAAAATTTTCTGCACTTTTTTTTCTTATATTCTTCAATATTTCAGGAAACAAATCCTAGTTATGGAGCAACAGACAAATTTGAGTAAATTTTCAGTTTTTGGCTGTTTTTGTTCCAATCTTCTGAAGGAAAGAACAGACTATAAACAGGACTTTTTTGTGAGTTTGTGATGAAAAGCGAGAACTGGTGGTTGAAAAAGTTAAAACTGTTGCACTGAGAGAAATTTGCATTTAATTAAAATGATTCATTCATACAGAGAATGGATTGACAATTCCTTCCTGAACTCGAAACTGAAATTCAATAAAATTTTAACTCTTAGACGTATTCATCAAACACTTTCATTTGTTGTTTCAGATCTTTGATTGATTACATGTCAGTTTTTTCAAAATTTAAAGATCCAAAGTCGTTATATCAAGAATCAACACTCAGGGAATTGTATCTAAAGGTAGGTAACGTTTATTTGAGTTTATTTTGAAAATGTTTGTGAGAAACAAGACAGAGATGTGAACGTGTGCCAGATTTCTACAATACCAGTGTCTATATCACCAATTAGAATCATAATACTAACAAAGCTGTGATATCATTGTGTTTTTTTTTACAGCTCCTCTGCCATCCAGACACAATAGTCCAACAACTCTCCTTAAACTGCCTACTGTCCTATAAATACAAATACCTTGTGCCTTACCAAGAAAACTTGCAAAGGTTATTGGTGGAGAAGAGTTTCCGAGCAGAACTTGTTGCATTTAGTTTGGATGAGGATAACGCTATTGTACAGAATGATCACCGAGAACAACTGTTCCCATTACTCATGAGGTTGGTGTCATTATTAAGTATCGAATAATATGAATACTTTTGAGTGTACCGGTTAGGGTGCACCACTGAAAGATTTACTGTAGTTGTGATGATTCTTGATTTCAGGGGATTTCATTTTGACTCTGGATTCCTACAAAATCAGACCTGTTAGAAGGCACCCTGATCTCTTTACTTTTGTGACAAAATTTTACATTTATAGAAAATTGGAAAGTTTATATATCATATTTATAATAGTAGTATTTGTAATAATGTTGTCCCCCCACTACTGAAAGCTCACAACCGGTATGAGTCATTACACTTTTATATAAAATCTGATAGAATCACTTCAGAATCTGTTCGCTAATTTTTCTTGTAGGGTTTTATATGGTAGAATGTTGAATAAATCTGGAGGGAAATCCAAGAAATCCCACATATTAAGATTTATTGCTGGGTGTCAGTCTTCAGAATTATCTCACTTTATACAGCTTATACTGGAGCCTATCGATGAATGGGTCAAAGGTGAGTAAGAAATTAGAAAAAACAAAGGGTCAAAGGTGAGTTCAGTCAAAGGTGAGTTCAGATGGATCAAAGATGAATAGGAAATGTGAGAAGTAAGGTTCAAAATTAAGAGGTTAAATTTAAAGTGAGTCAAGATTGTTCAAAGGTAAGTTGATTCAAAGGTGAGGGGTAAATGTGAAAAGCAAGGGTCAAAGGTGAGTTAGGATGGGTCAAAGGTGAGTAGGAAATGTGAGAAGTAAGGGTCAAAATTAAGAGGTTAAATTTAAAGTGAGTCAAAATTGTTCAAAGGTAAGTTGATTCAAAGGTGAGGGGTAAATATGAAAAGCAAGGGTCAAAGGTGAGTTAGGATTGGTCAAAGGTGAGTAGGAAATGTGAGAAGTAAGGGTCAAAATTAAGAGGTTAAATTTAAAGTGAGTCAAGATTGTTCAAAGGTAAGTTTGATTCAAAGGTGAGGGGTAAATGTGAAAAGCAAGGGTCAAAGGTGAGTAGGAAATGTGAGAAGTAAGGGTCAAAATTAAGAGGTTAAATTTAAAGTGAGTCAAGATTGTTCAAAGGTAAGTTGATTCAAAGGTGAGGGGTAAATGTGAAAAGCAAGGGTCAAAGGTGAGTAGGAAATGTGAGAAGGGTCAAAATTAAGAGGTTAAATTTAAAGTGAGTCAAGATTGTTCAAAGGGTAAGTTGATTCAAAGGTAAATGTGAAAAGCAAGGGTCAAAGGTGAGTTAGGATGGGTCAAAGGTGAGTAGGGAATGTGAGAAGTAAGGGTCAAAATTAAGAGGTTAAATTTAAAGTGAGTCAAGATTGTTCAAAGGTGAGGGGTAAATGTGAAAAGCAAGGGTCAAAGGTGAGTTAGGATGGGTCAAAGGTGAGTAGGAAATGTGAGAAGTAAGGGTCAAAATTAAGAGGTTAAATTTAAAGTGAGTCAAAATTGTTCAAAGGTAAGTTGATTCAAAGGTGAGGGGTAAATATGAAAAGCAAG